CTGGAATGAATAAGAAAAAAAATTTTTTTTTGTCCCCAGATGACCATGTGTAGGATGTTTTATTTCAATTAGGAACAGATTGTTAAATATTTATTTATTGATTCTCAATATGTGTGGCGTAGCTGGAATGTGATGAATAAAAGTAAGCAATACAGTTTTTTAATGTAAAATAGTGAGAAACAAGTATGGTAAGATTCATGAACACACTGTGTATTTAAACCTGTGAACATTAATGTGTACTTATCTGATATTTTTCATTTTTTAACTGCAGGAAATCAAATGAAATGGATGTAATTTACCTAGTAAAACATTCAAAAATTCTTTGCAGTGTAATAATATTACCAATCACACACAAACATGATTAACAGGGTCAGAGTACATGTAACTACACATAATGTGTGTAAGCACAAACAGCAATGCCATTGTTCTTCATAGTTTAAAAAATAAATAATTTTAAAAAAACTTTGTGATATTGAAATGGTAATAATTAAATGTACATAATAATAATAAAATAAAGTAAAATTTAACATTTTATACTTATCATCTCTAACCTAATGTTTTTTACATGATGTTAAAGGCAATGCTGTAAGTGTTAATATATTTATTAGCCCAATTCATTGTTTATCATTCTCTAATAATGTAAATATTTGAGTTATCGTTAGTTTATTTGTTTTTATTTAATTAAGTCAAATTCTGTACATTCAGTAATTTCATGTATTTTATTTCTTTCAATTCTATGAAAACACATAGATGATATTTTTGTGTATCTGTTTTGTGTTTGTATTTTGTCAGATATTGTCAAAGAGGTTCATTCTACACCTTAAATAAGTAGCCCTATTTGTATTAAGAAATTATGTTATGGGTTACACTTAAATACATTAGTGTCATTTGCATTTTTCAAGGTCTTCTTCAGAGTAACAGTTTTTTTGTGGTTGAAAAAAAATGATTCGTTGATAATTCAGTGTGTGTAACTAACTGTTGTCAACTGTCAATTCTCTGTTGAAACTCGAACAAATGTGTGCCAAATATCTGATATGATGTTGTTTGTTAGGGTTCAATAAAGTACAATCATGTGCAGCTCTGAAAAAAAATGTTCTTCATGGATCACATATGTTTCTGTTAGAAAGTAGGTGTTTAAAATGGCTCATTATTATTCACCTTCAGAATCATTTACACATAAAGCAAATAATGAGGCTGTTTGGTATTTCAACTAGTTGGAGTCTTCAGCTTTGGTTAACTTTTAATTAAAGTTTTTACTTGCAAAATGAAACAAATGAAGATAATATTTGGTGACAAATCCACACCATGACCATCAGTTGTAAGCTAGTCATAGCATGAGTTTTGTTACATAATGTAGGCCAAATTATACTTTTATAAGTAAAATGTATATCCTTGATCATAGTAATTATGAGAAAATATATATAATAATGAACAAGAATCAACTGTTTTTGATATATCTATAAAACTAATGCGAAACTTAAAATATTTTCTTTGTAACATGATCTTTATTAACAGTATGTTGTTTGTAGTAATATGAGACACCAAAAATTTGTAAGATGTTTAACATAAGTTAAACTAAAATGATTCAATGGCATAAGTTGGTTCTCAGTGAATAAGAAACTTACAGAAAATAATTAGTGAAACTATGGTGATACTATGGAACCAAGTAGTATTATGCTTCTGATGAGAAATTATGAAATAATCATATATAGAAGAAATGTACGAAAGATTAGTTTTCTGTAAATGCAAATATTAATTTGGTAGTTTTATTTTGTGTGTACATTAGTTGAAAATTCATGAAACGAATCCGTATCTTTTAAACAAAATGACTATGAGATGGTACTGTCTGTACTTGGTATTTCATCACTGCCATTTTATATAGTTATATGTAACTTGTATACATTAGTAGTGCTACCTGTTGTTCTAAAAAAATAGAATTACAACTATATACATGTGTGTGTGGAATTTTTAGTTTTGTCTGTATTGTACACTTTAGTAGTTATTTGTACTTCAGAAAATCCAGGTTGTCAGGCATAGTGTCCAGTAATAAGCACTTAGCACGAGCAAGTTACTAAAAAACAATAATGTCAAAAAGTTGGACTCAAATGAAAGTTGCAAGTACATTAAAATTTCTGTATTATGTTCAAATAATTAAAATGTTAATATTAACTCACTGACTGCTGATTCACTGTATATGGTATGGTCCACCTCTGGCAATAGAATGCAAATGTGTCATATAAGGTATATGGCTTGCAAACATTCCTCGTGCATTAAGAGCAGCCACAGTCAATTGGTTAATTGAGGTGGAATTTAAATTGAAACATTACATATAGTGACTATAAAAGTGATCAGGAGATTTATAACTAACACAAGTATTTATATAACACATCATGAAATAGGTAAAGTTCTTAAACACTACTTATAAATTATATAGCAGATTTAAGAAATAAGGGCAGTTAGGAGGTATTTAAAATGGGTAGATTGTGGCACATTGATGGATGTTACTATACAAGATGTGACATCTGCTACTGATGAAAATTAGATAACAAAGAATATACGTGCATTTTTTATAAAACAAAGTGGATAAAAGAAATTTGATCAAAAGTAAAAATTCTGTTGCTGTCGAAAAGCTAAAGTTAAAAATAAAATGTGTTGGAGGGGAAGCATGTTTTTGATCACTTTCTTATTGAATTTTCTAATCTGCGAGTGTGTATATTTATAATATTTAAGTTACTGTAGAACTAGACATTGTAGGTAGGAGTTTAGAAATAAACAGACAATTTTTTGTAATGAATATTGAAGTCTTTAAGATTTTTTAAACTTTAACTTTTTAAATTTATCTGTATTCACAGATAAATTATTGTATGTAATAGCTAGCCACTTTTTAGCAAACCATTAAACTATACTGTATTTTCTATTTAAGATGAAATATTGTTATTTGTAGGTAAGTTTTCTACTTCTTTCCTTTCTATAGCCTTAGATTATGGTAAAAATGTAACGTTTTTCACACATTTACATAAAACAGTTAAAGTAACCAAATGTGTTGTACAGTTGTATTAGTCTTGCCAGTAAACATGATGAAAATGTTATGTCTTGTGTAATTATTTCTCTATGATACTGCTATCACTGATGGTTTATCAAGTAAAGTGAAGTATTAAGGAATACAAACATTTGTACACTTATAAAACAACGTTGTACACATTATAAAGTATTTAGATTAAATTTTGTCAGGACTTTAAGTTTCTATCCAATATCAATTAATTTGATAAATTTTTTGAGTATCTTCAGTGACTTACTTGAAAATTACAGCTGTTTAAGATTTTATGAATTCAAGACAGAGATTTGAATAATTATGAAATCAATTTAGTGGCATTAAAGTTGTAAAAAAAAATATTTATGAAATCAAGGAATGGGTGCATTTTTAGGATGCATAATAATTCAATACACATCTTGCCTTGTTACATGAATTATCTAGATATAGTTACGTTGGTTCCCAATATCCATAATACATTTAATGTTAGTGTTTTTTTTTCTTTACTAGAATTTTAACTGCTTAAAATATTCATTTTCTTCTGCAGAGTAAATAAGATTTAATTTTTTGGGGGCTTTTAAAAAAAATATATTTTTTTAATTCAAAGCTCCTTTTGTAGGCTGTTTTTAATGTTTTAATTTAGAAGTTTTGATTGTATGACATAATGATGTGTTCCTGAGTTCTAAAATTCACTTGATATGATGAGCATGTGACATTACATATTATCTAAGAATTTCAGTGGAAAATAGTGTAACAATATTACACACCAGAAGATTGTTGAATAGTTAATGAGTTTAGTTGTTTGTTGAATTATGTGAATCTAAAAGATGTGTCATCACTCAATTACTAAGTTAAAGTTAGCAACTGCATTAATCATCCATTTGCGAGTTGTGTCATACATACGTGAAGAAATTTAACAAGTAAGTAATTGTTAAGTGTCTTCCATTGGGTTAGTGGTACACTTACCAACTTATAATGCTAAAATCTGAGGCTTTATTCCTTGCAGTGTACAGAATACAACTAGCCCATTGTGTAACTTTGTTCTACAACAAAATCATCTAATTTTCATTTTCTTCTACATGAATTATTTACTAAATTTGGTTTTTCCAAAAAGCTTTTCCTTCAAATCTCTCAAGTTTTTGGCAATGGTGGTCTTTGCCAGAATTTTAACCAGTTATAATGTTCCTTCTCTTTTGTAGGGAAAATACACAGCATTTGATATTTAAAAAATAATTCCTTTTTTCTAATCAAAACTTCTAAGTCTTTTACGTTTTTATTCCCCATCCTTTTTTTTTAATCAACTAGATTTGTAACAACTTTCAATTTTGATTTTTTATGGGAAAAAAATACAAACATATTTTTCTTTTTTAAGTCAAAACTCAATGTATAAGCTTTTATGATTTTAACCAAATTTTCTTTTGAGGTAAAGATATGCAGGATTTTAGCTTTTCGAAGTTCTGTTTTTTCATCAAAACTCCCAATTTTCATTATCTTCTGCACTTAAAAGTATACTAGATTTGGGCTTTTCATTAAATCTATTTTTGTATTAAAACTTGCAGTTTAATATTTTGTGTATTTGTATGTTTAAATTTCACCTTGAGAATTATTATTAACAAACTAATCTAATGTTGAATTTCCTTTTGCAAACTGCTATTATTAACAAACTAATCTACACCCTCCCATATGGATATGTTCCTTTATCACTGTTTCTTGTACAACTGTACTGAGTTAAGGGATTAAAATAAACCATAAATGGAAAATCTACTTCTAAAGGCTTTCACAGTGAATAAAATGTTAATGTTGTATTTTTGTGTAGACAGATGTTTTGTTCAGTAGCATCACAATACATCTTGCAGACAACAACTCAAGTAATTTGAAGAGGTGTTTTATGTGGGAACAAGAAAGGCATTACAGTAACATCTATAGAAAGATACATCAACCC